TTCGCACCCACCCGCACGTGGCCTTGACCGCACCCCATCCAGCCCCTGCTGAGGTGGAGATTGAACGGAGGAGGCACTAATTGCCCTTTAATTGCCCCTCTGTCTGTGCAGCTGCTCCCGTATAGGCAGAAAAGAAGAGTGGACATATAGTATTGATTAGACAGGAGCAGTGAGAGTAAAAGAGAGAAGTGGAACTGAAGTGAGCTTTAAACAGACATATCGATTGGATCTTTAACCAAAACTAATACTTTTTTCCATCATTTACTGGTTTTGAAAAGAGTATTTATCATTTTACTTAGTTTGACATGTATTTTTTATTATATAGATGTAACATTTTTTTTTAAATGTAACAAAAAAATAATTTTTAAAGAATTTTTAAAAAAGTTTTTTTAACTAAATCTGTCAGTGCTGTTTTCATTCTCTCGTATCCAGCCCTATACATTTTCGCGGATGTAGCTCCCTGTCATTGGAACTGAGTGATTGACAGCTGATAGTAACCAATCTATTAGAGCTTTGTGCTAGCGCAGTGGGCCAATAAGAAGAGCTTGAAGGCGGGACAAGCATTGCAGGCTTTGTTTACTGCAGCAAGTTGACATGTCAACTGTTTTAACCATTCCTGAGCACTGCGTTTGGTGTTTTTAGGTGCAAAGATGCATTCTGAGTAAATGCCTCCTAAATCCGCGCATGTGGTGAACATTTTGCTGTGGAAACTGGTCGCATGACAACAATTTTATGCACTCTCACAAATGCCCTCAAATATATTTTGAGGTTGTATAGAAAACATTTCAGGTGCATATGCGACCAAAACAATCACAATTTCGAGCCCTGTCATTTGTTATATAATTCATTCAAGTTGTGATTCACATGTAGCTAATGATTTATAATAAAGCTTGTTTGGCATGCTGTCCTGGGAAAGAGCCCTAAGCTTATGATATCCTCAAGTCCTGGGCTCCCTCCTGTTAGCAGGGCGAGAGGGGAGTTTGAGCTCAGGTACATTTAGATGAACTCCTCCTACTTATTTCTGGCTAATAACAGATAAAGGGATGGCTAAGGAGATTTATGGCTTGCTAAGAACTTGACTATGGTGTCAATTTGGTATGTTCAATTTACTTAGGTTGCATGTTTTTTGGACTGTTTGAGGAAATCGGAGACCCCAGGAAAAACCCACGCAAACACGGGGTGAACGAGCAAACTCCGCACAGAAATGTCAACTGATTTAGTAGGGAATTTAACCAGAGACTTTCTTGATGTGAGGCAACAGTGCTAATTACTGGGTTGCTGTGTCGTCGATCTAGAAAGGAGGAAGAGTGGGATTCTTCAAGATAAAAATACTGAGATTAAAAAACTCTGGTTATTTATAGTGAGTTAGTAATCATCTGATTGGTGAATCAGTCCTGAGCTGATGCAGGAGCAGTCGTAAACAATCATAAGCACATGCTCCTTTCGAAGTTAGTTTATAAATAGCATCACTTATTTGATTTAATAACATAAATAAGAAAATAACAATTGTAACCATTATATTATATGGAGATGAGAAGATGGTCAAATCAAGGGAAACAGTTTATGACTGCAATATAGACACTACAAAAGAAAAAAAAGTGCTCTGTCAATGAATCTCAACACATACTGACCTTTGACCCCTTTGACCCCACTATTACATACTGAGCTCTTTGAAGCGTTCAATGTCAATCACTAAAGGAATTTCACATACACATGGACACACATACACACATTGACATATGCAACCAAACAAAAAAATTAACAATGGATGGTAGTGATCACATGAAAGTAATGGCATTTTATGAAATATCAAACTTTATATAAATATACAGTATACAACTATTACACAAATTCTGTTTATCACAAGATTTTTTTGAGCTGTAATGTTTCTACTTGTAAATGTCGATACAAAACTAATGCAAAATTATGCTGTTTTGGTTAGGTAAGGGCTATGCAACTGAAACTGTAAACTTCTAAAGCAAAAATTAAGAAGATAGATAGAATTATTTATTTTGCAGCCAATGCACATATCCTTAAAGAAACCCTTTTTTTATTGTGAAAAAAAATAGGTTTCTATTGCTTTTTTGCTAAATATTCCTTTTTCAAGTTGTCATTAAAAACACCACATATAAACTTGTTTGCCACATATGGGCATTTTGCAAAAGTGATGTGTTTTAATTAGGCGTATTTTCAATTTGCTCAGTTTAAAGGGTAATGGAAATGTGCCCATAGTATCTGACTGGTGTGCGCTGGCTCCTGTGTTGCACTCATTCAGTTTTAAAGCGAAAGCACAGCCTCTGCTTGTTTCACTCAGCTTGTGAAGTTGTTCTCTTCACTGAACAGGAGCTGTTTGTTTGGGTTCTGTGCTCCGGGTGGGAGTCATGAGAATGTTAGCGGGTGTGTGTTTATGTGTGTTGTCTATCAGCCAAAGGGATCTAGGAAAGAAGGAGGATCCTAGGGGAGATTATTGTCTGTCCCGATGCCACATTTCTCATGTGATCTTTCTAAACAAGGCTACACCATACTCATATTACATGCATACATGCATACAACAAAGAAGACTGTTAATATGGGTTTCATGTTTAGTTATACACCAAAAAGTGCCTTGTGCAAAGTGGGAGTGAAGTGAAGAACATAAATTACTTACAGTATGAGCAGCACTATTTTGGTATTCAATATTTATGCTTTTTTATAATTTCCACCAATTATTTAATATGTTCACTATATGAAATGGAAAATCTAGAAAATTTATATTTAATCATTTAAATTATATGTGTCAGTAACTCAATATATGCTGCTCAAAATTTGGGGGTCAAAAGGAGTTTTAAAAGAACAGCAACTGTGTGGACCCACCCGCAAGAGGAGGTGAAGGAAAGTTCCCAGCAGGCAGACATCATAAGACGGTAGTATTAGGTTAGAAGTCAGGTGACCAAAACTCAATGTCCAGCCAGTGTCTAAGGACAACGTTATTTTGACGTCCGATAACGACGTCACATTATGTTGATATTTGGTTGATTTTAGGTTGTGTTGGAAAGTGACCAAAATCCAACATCTGATAGATGTGATAGTGGAAATGTCCACACAACGTCAAGGTGTAACATGATTGGACATTGATATTTGGTTGATTTTAAGTTGATTTAAGGCTGGACATTGGACATTGACGTCGGCCTGACGTCAACCTGATTTTCATTTCCAAGCAAAATCCAACATCCCCATGACCTTGGGGTACAACTTCAATATGACTTCCTGTCGATGTCCTGTTCCTGCAGGGTTGAATCAAAATCTGACTCCCTGGACAAATCTGACTCCCTTTCGCGTGCACACACATCATGCAGTGCTTGCAGTTAAACTCACAGCAGTTTATCATGGCACTTTCATTGATTGTTTTTTTTCTACAACTCACAGCAAGAACAAACATAGTTGGCTGATTGACAAGCAGTGCCCACTCATGTTCAAAACTATTTCAAATGCAAAATAGGACGAATTTATACTCCATTTTGAAAGTAAAACATACTGTATAGGTTGTGTAATCTACATAACATTAAGTGCAGTGTGTGGTTGAGAGGGGGCAGAGTTTCGATGTGATCCGGTGTGTTTTTGTGACTGCTGGTGTGGGTTGCTGTATGGTTAAAATGATGACAGTTGAAGTAACTAGGCTAAGTTTCAATTTAAATCATTTTAAATTAAATTAAATATTAATCTAATATTTCAGCCGTTTTTTTTTTTTTTGTTTTTTTTTTGTGTGTGTGTGTGTGTGTGCATTTGGCGAGGTTTGGACAGCTTTTGTGTTGGAAAAAAGTCGGCTACAGTTGCAATCAGAATTATTAGCTCCCCTGTTTTTTTTTTTTTCCCAATTTCTGTTTAACGGGTAGAAGATTTTTTTTTTACACATTTCTAAACATAATAGTTTTAATAACTTATTTTTAATAACTGATTTATTTTATCTTTGTCATGATGACAGTAAATAATATTTGACTCGATATTTTTCAAGACACTTCTAAACAGCTTTAAGTGACATTTAAAGGCTTAACTAGATTAATTAGGTTAACTTGGCAATTTAGGGTAATTAGGCAAGTTATTGTGTAACAATGGTTTGTTCTGTAGACTATCGAAAAAAATATAGCTTAAAGGGGCTAATAATTTTGACCTTAAAATTGTTCTTTAATAAATTAAAAACTGCTTTTATTCTAGCCGAAATAAAACAAATGAAACTTTTCCAGAAAAAACAAATATTATCAGACATACTGTAAAAATGTCCTTACTCTGTTAAACATCATTTAGGAAATATTTAAAAATGAAAAATAAAATCTGATTGCTGTATATCTGGCAACACTGCTCTTCAAACAGTTTCCACATGAATGTTAAGCAGCATGGTAATGTTTTGAACATTGATAATAAAAATGTTTATTGAGTGGGATTTTATGTTAGAATATCCAGTGAATATGTTTTAACACAATGAATAGCATTTGCATTTTTATTATAAAAAAAAAAGAAAAAAATGTTATTAATGTAAATGAAATAAAACATCTGCACCATTTTTTGCTTAACACTTTTAAAATCTTTCATGGCCTCTCCATATTTCTTGATTTTAATTTGCCTTCAAATTTATTAGATTAATAGATTGTGAGTATTAAAAAAAATCATCACCCAATCCTACCGTGAACTCTAATACCAAATTTGATGAGAGCAAAGGGTTATCGACCGCCCTTTTTTCCTGGCTCTCTCTTGCACCTGGTTCTGTGCAGCTGGGCTTCATGTTTGGAGGCAGCGGGAACACAATGGCTGTTTCAGACTCACAGCATGTGGATCATTTCTGACTGTGTGTGACTCTGATGCTGCTGTGGTGAAAAGACGTCTGCCAAATTATTATGAGTGTTGCTCACTCCCCCCATCCATCCCTGGGTCTTTCCCTCCAAACAAGTACAGTTTTCAAATAAAATAGTTAATGTTGTTACAGTACTATATGTGTAATTCGTGTCTCTGTTCCTGTCTCTTTACAGTATGTTTGGCTTCAGTCACAGTCAAGGTGAATCCAGAAATGCACGTTCTTAAAGGAGATACAGTCATGCTGCCCTGTACGTACACCACCTCTGCAGAGGCTGCGGTTGCGGTCCAGTGGTTTATTGTGAGTATGCAAAAATTACATTATATGATGTACCATTACACATAAATGTTCAGCAACTGTTTTTTTTTTTTTTTTTTTTTCCAGAACAAAAGTTCATTGAACACAGCAATAACAATCTAAATATTTTAATCAGGCAAGGTTAGAGGGGCAAGGTTTTGGCTTTTGGAGAGTTTTTAGTCTCAGTGTAAGCCAACAAAACAATGCTGATTCAGTAACTATAACTAGTGGGAGGGAGCAAACTATTGTTAGACTGAATAATAGAATAATAAAAGTAAGCTTTAATTACATTTGACACTGGCCATATCTTGCAGCTACTGGGGTAAAGGTCCTAGTTACAGTAAACTTCAAACAAAAACAGAATAATGAACTGAAATGACAACATTTGAAAAAAATACATAGAGCCAAAACATTGTTTGATTTGACAGTTTGAAACAGCTCACCAACTTTTTTGGGCCACTTTCTGCCTTCTTTGACGTGTTTGATTTGTATATCATGAATACACTAGAGGGTTGAATAGTCTATAATGATGGCAGACTTAAAGTCTAGTATTATTTCATTTTACTTACAAAAAGAAAAGAAAGCACAACCAAAACAAACATTAGCAATAACTTACACAACAAGACAGTTACCGATTTGACCAAAAGTCCCAATCAAAAGCAAAAAACACAGCAAAAAACAAACAAAATTAATAAATAAGCATCAACAAGCAAAACAAAATACCCCCCAATTGTATTATTTGACAAAATAACAAAAACAAAGAGGGGAAATCAAGAGTGTCTGTTGGAAGTAGTTTTGGTAGTACCAGGATTTCTGCTCTCACATCAGACTTGGCCTCCGGAGGATTGGATGTTTTGACATAAAGATTTTAAACTTGAACGTAGTTAACTGATGTATCCACACCTGTATGATTGCTCACCGAGAGAATTTTTAATTTTTTTGAAGAGGGGGTCACACGCTGAATGAGAAGCCCCACTGTGTCACACCACATCTTTTCTATGAAAGTGTGCGCAATGCACAATGCCAGCACCATTGATGTGGCACACAATCTGGTAGTGCAAAAGGCTGGAAAAAGACTGTTTGCCAGATGTTTATGATTTTTTTTTTCTCTTTTAGCCACTATTGTTGTGTTTAGTGGTTACACGCAAACAACCCGATATGACCCGATATGAAATAGGTTAATGACCTACAGAGTAACACCAGTCTTTTTTTGTTAAAAGATGTGCTATAAGGGTGTAAACAAAAACTTTAGCTTTACTTTCATCAAGATAGAACCAATGCATTAATCAGTGCTGTAATAGGGTATATGCAAAAAGACATTTAATTTTTAGGAACCATGTTAAAGCACTTCCAGTGAACTGTATGCTCTTACAAGATCAACGCGTTTAAGGCCTGTTTTCTTTAAAAATCAATGAGCTTCACTGCCTGATAGATATACGATATAAAGTGGGTCTCGGAATGTACAAGAAGCACTGCATTAAATTTCATTTTTCTTAGCCATGTCTTTAAAATATGAACATTTATTTCACTCTAGTATTTTCAATGGAGTTTCTGCGCTAGCCTGCTGATCCTGACAGTGCATATGTGTAAATGGCTTTTTTTATTTCGTTTTTACACTTAATCAACTAAATAAATGCTTACGTCTCTTTAACTGATTCTATTTTAATTATGAAATAGGAAAAAGTCACATTAACTGTTCACCGGAAGTTTATCGGTAGGGGAAAAAACACTAGCTGTGCATATACCCTATAGGATTGCACAACAAGAAATATGTACTATGATAATAGTGGCATTGCTGACAAATGAATGGATATGCTTGTAACTCGCTATTTTATCTTAGTCATAAATAATACCCTACATACAACAACAAGCTATTCAAGTAATTTGTTTCTCACAGTGAAGAGGTTTTTAATAGTTTTTTTTTTTTTTTTTTGCTTCCACATTTGTGATGTCAAAACACATTGTGAAAACACAATTTTACAATTTTATCCATGCAATATGGCTTTATTTCAACATGGCTGTGGTTACCTTTATTGATTTAGAGCTATATGACATGACAGCTTATATGAAATTACTCATGTATTACATTTTCAGTTTACTAATTTGATTGATTTGACATATTTTATTTTATATATGGTTTAAGAAAAAAACACAACTTGTTTAATATGTGTATGCTCCATTCATAGGAATTTGCTGATGGAGGCAGAAAGCAAGTCGCCTACAAGTCCTCCGTAGGCTCTGATGCTGGAACATTTACAGATCGCTATACCATAGAAAAGGACATGTCCCTTAATATCTCCCAAGTCACAGTGGACGATCACAAAAAATTTATCTGCCAAGTGACCGCGGGGCCTGTGGGCACTGCCGAGTCTGCCACCGAGGTCAAGGTTTTCTGTAAGTCTGGCTCAAAATGGGTGCATATTATGTTTCTTCAGTTCATGTTTATCTTATTATGTTTCATTTGAGCATGTGCGTTAGGCTTGGGCGGTGTCCAAATTTTGAGACCGTCAAACCGCCTCCATATTTTACCCCGGTATCCGGTATTACCGGCTAAATAAAAAAAATTATGACGTAAGGCTCAGACAGCGTCACCAAACTGTTGGCTTGAGCCTAAACCATTCAGAAACTGAATACCTTCTATGCGACCTTAGGCAGAGAGAGAGAGAGAGAGAGAGAGAGAGAGAGAGAGAGAGAGAGAGAGAGACTTTCTCTGTCTTACACAAACACACACACATCTCTCCCGCGATTTATTCAGAAATTTACTCCCACACCGTAAGAAATCTGGCCGGCTTCCGCGGGAATGCAGAGAGCTGTAATCGGGCCATAAAAATTATACCCGATAGGTCCCGAGTCCGACACGTACATTTTGATTGACAGCTTTATAAAGCCCGAGCCCTTACAGCTCTAATGCATTTTTTCAAGAATGAGTCATTTATATGTTTTAACAGCATTTATTCGTAACAAACGAAGACTATATCCCACTTGAAAGTTGGAACAAAGAAATAAAATAAGTCCTCTGTAACATCGTAACATCTCAGCTCTCTATAGGTCTACATGCACTTAGCCTTTAAATTGGCCAACACACCAATGAAAAGAAATCTTGCTTAACAAATCAAATAAACTCTAAATGATGACGGGTATTTTGGCAGTAACTAAATTGAAGCTGAATATTAAAAGAATAATGCCACCATTAGTCTGTATACTCTGTCTACATTATGATTATATGGTTTAATTAATATTTATTTATAATTTAAAACCCTTTACTCACCAAGATTAGGCTACGTGTGTTTGTGGAGGAACATTATTAAATCCACTGGCTTTAGCGCAGTCTTGCGCTCATGTGCGTCCAGCAGCACTGAACACCGTTTCATTGCTACTGCTACAGGTCGAGATGCAGAGTTCTGATCTGGCTGATTTTGCAAGTTTTAGGTAGGATTGTTTATTCATCTTATACCAGTCAGGAACATCCATTTAATTTTCCATGACCGTAGTTTCAGGGTAGCGAGTGGCCTCGTCATTTTACATGTCAGCTTGCGGTTTAGGGCTCTACCGTAATACGCAGTGTATGAGTGACCGCTAAATACCTGCGGCTGGAATAACCGCTCTTTCTGACTGGCTTGACCGCCGTCAAAATTCTCTTTTTTTACTACTTCGTCATAATTTGCTTCACCTTTGCAGGGATGGATTTTAATGCAGGGATTTGGATTTTTTCGGGTCTCGCCGGGTTCGGGCAAAGATCTTCAGCTCTAATGCAGACCTCTCGTTCATATTAACCACGTCTCCCTTCTGTTCAGTGTAAACTGCCAAACTGCAGGACACTTTGAAGCGCGACTCGTCACGTCACGTCTCCCTGTCCCTCTCTCCCTCTCCCTCTCACCCTCTCCCCCTCCCTCTTCCTCTATCTCTCTCCTCCACACTGTCCCGTGATGACAACCACACACACGTTTTTTAGGCATTAAATAAAGGATATTTAACACTTTATGACGGTATAACGGTATTGAAACTGACACCGTTGCTATTTTTAGATCCCGCGGTATACCATAATACCGTAATATCGCCCAAGCCTAATGTGCGTCCACTCTACTAACAATTTCCATGAACTAAATGGGACATATGGCCAGCCATTTTTACCCCTATTCATTAGTCTTGAGTGTTGTTTGTGAGTTGGCCCAGGGGCAATTATGAGCGTACAGATTGCATTTGACACTATTGATTAATAGAGTGATTGCACTTGTCATGTTTGATGGATGTCATTTTAAGGGTTATGAGAGACAGAGAGTTCTATGTGCTTTAAGCACTGCGCTGCTGACCACTAAGTTCCTTGTGAAAAAAAAAACATAATTTAAAAAAATAATTTGATTCTAATGTATTTACATAGGCGACGCAGTAGTGTAGTAGCTAGTGCTTTTGCCTCACAGCAAAAAGGTCGCTGGTTCAAGCCTCACTGTTTGGCAGTTTGCATGTTCTCCCCGCATTCACATGGGTTTCCTCTGGGTGCTCTGGTTTACCCCACAGTTGAAAGACATGTGGTACAGGTGAATTGGGTAAGCTAAATTGTCCGTAGTAAATGAGTGTGAATGAGTGTATATGGATGTTTCCCAGAGATGGGTTGCAGCTGGAAGGGCATCCGTTGCATAAAACATATGCAGGATAAGTTGGCAGTTCATTCCGCTATGGCGACCCCAGATTAATAAAGGGACTAAGCCGAAAAGAAAATGATTGAATGAATGAATGTATATATATTTTATAAATAATACATAATATTATAATATATTTAAATATAATATATATTAAAAGAATCATTCTGTCCTCAAACTTTTGAACAGTACTGTACATTTATGCAGTAAATATATTTACTTTAATAGATACTGGTAAAAAAAAAATTAAGATTATTGAATTAAATTAAAATGCACGCTTTCATTCAGTGAGATAGGAAAATATTACTATACTTTATTTTGAGGTACGTCATTTATAGTTGTGTGAAGAAGTGGTGTAGTCTGTGGAATAGCATAGATATTTTCAGTGAAGCAGTATTAACCATGCTTAATTGTAAATACAAATGGATATTGACCAGGTGTGCATTTGCCAAACAACAACATAACTCGTGACTGACCTATCAACGATGCATTATTTAATAAAAGAACGATGTAGTGTAGAGTGTTTCCCAAAACCGTAGTTGCTTTGTCGCTGATCTATCATTTGAACCGTGTTAGATATAACGTAAAACATACATTTTTAAATTATCCACAGAGTTCATTTACGTAATTTTAAGGAAATGAGTTCGCTCACTTTTTTTAGTCAACAAATTGCTTTTAAAGGTTAATGTTAATAAATTTACTAGCATGCACAAATAATGAACAACTAATTTATTACAGTATTCATGATAGGTTACCTTAGTTTATGAAATTACTGGTGTTTATTTGTAGTGCACTCACAGTGAGCATTTATTGTAGTTACAAATATAAATATGGATTATATTAATGCATTAGTACATGTTGGCATTAATATTTAGGTAATAGATGCTGTACACATTTTGTTTAATCTTTGTTCATGTTAGTAAATATATTAACTAACAATATTAAACAACATGTTAAACCCTAATGAAGATTTATTAAGCTTTTCTGAATTCTGAATATTTGGGTTGTTCATTCTATTATTTATTTTTTATTGTGTGTTTGTGCATGTGTCACTAATTGGCCTGCATTAGATGGTTTTGAACTTTCATCCCCCTGCTCAGTGATCCATTATTTCTTTGGAGAGCCTCCCCCAGCTGTGTGTGTATGATGGGGTCACTTCTGGGGACACTTTATGAAAAACCAGACAACTGTTTGTGTGTAGGAGGGTGTAGGCTGCTGCGTGGGATAGTGTGTGTGTGTGTGTGTGTGTGTGTGTGTGTACACCAGAAACAACAGCAGAACAGCCTCTTTGTTCATATTCCATCCCAGACTGCGTGGAGCGAGAGAGCCAGTAATGGCTGTAATAATTGTGAATGAGAGCAGTGGGACTAGGAAACAATAGCATCTCCTCCCTGGAGACGAGCGCTGCTGCCTGCTTCATGGCTAATGGCTGCACCAGAGGGACACGTCCTTGTTTAGAGAGAGAAAAAGACATCCATCTCTATGCAAACTTGTACATGTTCTTTGATACTTGTTCTTTAAAAAAGTATTTTGAAAAAGATTAAGACACAAGAGAGTAGATTTGACGATATAAGATCATAAAGGAAGGGGACAAACATGAAGAAAGGCAGAGAAACTATAAATGCTTTGGGAAAAATGGCTTGACTGTTAATGTTATTGAAAATGATTGAGTTTATTTTTGTACCAGATGACAGCTGGAGCAGTGTTATAGTGACCTTGCACATTTGCACTTTAATGAGCAGTTAAAGCATGAGTTGGTAAAGGAGATTGAAGTATTTTTTGTTGTTTTGTTTGCTATTTATATATATATATATATATATATATATATATATATATATATATATATATATATATATATATATATATTTTTTTTTTTTTTTTTTTTAATTTTTTTTTTTTAAATAGTTAAAAAAAGATACATTAATTATTTAACATTAGTAACAACATTATGACTTTCACACAGTGATACGAGTAAATATCCGGAAAAATTACCACAACGACTTAACCGGTAAATAAAAAAAAGCTCTTTTCACACAGGCAGGGACGTTCTGGAATTTTTCCGGAATATACCATTCATACATAAATACCAAAAACTGGTATATTCTGACAGATTTAACCAGAAATGGCCTCTAAACGGCTGTGCTTGTATTTGTAAACATTTGAATACCTCACAAACTCAGAGGACAGATAAGTATTGTGAACAACTTCATTGAAAACATATGAACACTTTCGCGTGTCGAGATGTACATGTGTGTGTGCGCTGGGGCTCTCCGGCTGCTTCACGTGCACACGCGGAAAAGTATTCAAAGGCTTTTATCTTCATAAACAGCATGGTTGTGAATGCGTCTGAATCTTCTGTAACTGTAACAGTAAGTGTGAACGCGCTTTTATTCGGCTATTTTCCTTCTGCGTTTATACAACGCAGCATTCCAGTAAATTACCGGTAATGTTACAACTTCTCTTTTCGGAAAAATGCCAGAACGAATTTATCGGTATTTTCAAAAAAGGGCCTGTTCAAACATACAGACTTTACATGCAGAATTACCCATTTTCCGGAAAGGTCTGTATGTGTGAAGGGGGGTAATGTGTACATAAAAACAAAGACAACAAGAATGAAGAAAACATCAGTACAATACAAGCATCAGCATCAGCATAATTTTCTCCACGTACAATTAAATTTGGCTTTGGAAGTAATTTATTAAAAGGACGCCACATGGCAGTGAACTTGGACCTAGAAGTATTTAAATTAAGTATTTTCTTTTTCAAACTAAGGAAATGCAACACAATATTGTCCCACTGTCTAAAAGAAGAGGGAAATGATTATTTCCAATTGATTAAAATCAAGTGTTTTGCCAAAAGCAACGCAAAGGCAATGCAGTCCAATTCATTTTTTGACAAATTGTTATTTTCATATACAATACCAAAGACAGCAATTAAAGGATTTGCTCAAACATTTTTCCAAAATATACTGGAGTAAGATAAAAACAAATGACCAAAATTCAGATAATCTGAAACATTTATTTATTTATTTATTTATTTATTTATTTATTTATTTATTGTATTAATTTTGTATATATTTTGTTATTATTATTATTATTATTATTATTATTATTATTATTATTATTATTATTATTATTATTATTATTATTATTATTGTGTATTATAGCATATTGTATATTGTAGCAAATCCCAGATGAGCACCCAAATATGTTATAAAACACAGTTTTTCCATTGTATCCATATGCAATATATCTCTACAACTGTTTAGCGATTTCAATATAATAATAGCTATTACTTGTAACACCTTCATAACTTTAATTTTGTAATTAAAAATAATGTGGTAATTAGTTGTAGTAAAATGCATGTATGGATACTTGATTCAGTATTTTTGCAAAAAATAAAAATCTCGGTAATTGCTAGTCAATTTCACTAATAATTTATAATAAAGGACAAGGCAAGAATCACTGAATTAAATATGACATTTTGAAGCATTAGTATTTTCATTTAAATGACTGAATATCATTCTTTTCAGCACAAACATGTCTTTCATGCAAATTAGGTTCATTATGTTTTGCCATATTCACACAATTCAACACCGTTAGCCTGGCACATTTATTGTTCAGAAAGCAGAAACCGATTTTATTTAAAACAGATGTTAAAGAGTATATTTCTATTGATTGTGGCAGCAGTTATTCATAAAATAATGATTAAGTGATGAAGAAGAATATTATAACTGGGCATCCTGGGTATAAAGAAGCCGTTTTCAGCTGTCATGATTATTTCAGTGAATTCCCCCTCAGTGTGTTGGTATTTATATGGCCAACTGCACTGTGTGTATGCTTGTAATTAGTTTAGGAAACCAAATCTCAGACTACATATAAGTTATTAATGATTTTTTTTTCTATCTTGCAGCTGCTCCAGAGAAGCCAATGGTAGTGCCCAATCCTCAGAAAATCTTTGTCGATTCCAGCATTTCATCCTCCGCTGAGGTCAGTTTCATATTTATGTTTCTATCTAGCTTTTTTAAATGTCGTAAAAAATGTTTATATATATATATATATATATATATATATATATATATATATATATATATATATATATATATATATATATATATATATATATATATAAAATGCTGTTTTGTTTTGTTTTGTTTTTTTGTTTTTAGGTGGGCAAGTGCATCAGCAGGAATGGTCATCCTGAGCCTCGTATTATCTGGTTTAAAGACGACAACCCTCTGCCTGAAGAAAAGAAAAAAACAGAAAGTAAGTTCAGAATCTGAAATGTGTCAGAATAAAGGGGCTTGCACACCAAATGCACCGTGCTGTGCTGTGATGCGCATTTGACAGTTCAATTCTTTACAGTTCAATTCAAAACTTTATTTCTATAATGCTTTTACAATGTAGATTGTGTCAAAGCAGCTTAACAAAGAAGTTGTAGTACATTGAAAGTGTGTCAGTCCAGTCTTCAAAGTAAAAGTTACATTTTGTTCAGTTCGGTGAGGTTTAAATTACACTGTTGAAAGTCCAAACGCTGAAGAACAAATCCATTGATGCGCAGCTCCACAAGTCCCAAACCAAGCAAGCCAGTGGTGACAGCGGTGAGGAACAAAACTTCACCAACTGATGAAATTAAAGTAAAGAATAATAAACTGGCAAGAAACATGGCTCAGTTGGGCTCAACCATTTTTTCTCTGGCCAAACTTCCTGTGCAGAGCTGCAGTCTAGGCACTGGAGGCTGGAGAATGCTTCATGCTTTACGTATGTCACCTGCATGTGTACAGGCTGGCCCATAGGATCAATACTGAAACTCGTCTGTCACTGGGGTCTCATGCTCTTCACTCCCCCATGACTGAGCTCAGGATACTCAGGATACGGCCTGGTCTATGATTATGGAGGAGCTCTCTCAAATACTTGGGAGCTAAGCCATTCAGGACTTTGTAGGTAGTAAATAAAATAAAAAAGTTATACCATATTATATTTAATAGGGAGCCAATAAAATGATAAAAGAACTGGAGTACTATGATCATATTTCTTTGTTCCAGAAAGCGCTCTAGCAGCTGCATTCTGAACCAGCTAAAGTTTGTTAATTAGGCCAACAGGGCAGCCACCTAATGCATTACAATAGTCTAACCGAGAGGTCATGGAGGCATAATTAAGCTTTTTCATATCAGACAGTAGCTATGTTTCCATCCAAAAATGCAAATTAACTTTATGAAAAAAACTGGATGTGAAGATGTGCGAATAAAGCAACGTTTCCATCCAATGAGTCATCTTGGCATTTCCATCCGTTTTTTTATGCGCAACTCTAAAATGCACATAAAAATAGGTGGATAGAAACGTAGCAAGTGATAGCATATCTACTACTACTACTACTACTACTACTATTACTACTACTACTTCTACTACTACTACTACTACTACTACTACTGCTACAACTAATACTACTACTATTACTACAACTAATACTACTACTATTACTACAACTAATACTACTACTGCTACTATTACCACTACTACTACTACTAGTAATGATAATAATAACAATAAAAACAGTAATAACAGTAATAATAATAACAATAATAATAATAAAATAATAATGATAATAATAATAATAATAATATAATTTCATACTGAACAATAAACTAACACATTCGAATGATTAAGAATTCACCCAAAATACTAAAAATTATTGAGACATATTTAATATCTTTCAGCATGTGAAGAGTTAATTTGCAAAAACTATTTTTTAATTTTTTTCATAAATTACATTTTTTTAACATTTAAAAGATTACTAAAACGAAAAAAAAAAAAAAAACTAAATTACTATTCAATAAAAAAAAACATGATACCTGAAATATGACTGAAAACAGTGGTGTTATCTGTTGATGCAAATAAACTCTTCATATATTTATTTATGGCAATTCAGTGCTGCAGTATGTAGTACTGCCACCTCACAGCAAGAAGGTCGCTGGTTTGAGCTTTAGCTGGGTCAGTTGGTGTTTCTGTGTGAAGTTTGCATGTTCCTTGCGTTCATGTGGGTTTCCACCAGTTGCTCCGGTTTCCCCCACAGTGCAAAGACATGCGGTATAGTTGAATTGGGGAGGCTAAAATGTCTGTAGTTTATGAGTGTGGGGTGGGTTAAGGATGGAATAAGGATGGGTTGCAGCTGGAAGGACATCTGCTGCCTAAAACATATGCTAAAAAAGTTGGCAGTTCATTCCGCTGTGGTGACCCCAGGTTAATTAATAAAGAAACCAATTACATTCCGCTATACTCCACCTAGACTTTTAGATTTCTTACAGTAAAATTAATCTTGTTTCTTTCTCTTTGCCAGAAACATACATGATACATTTTTTGGTGAAGGAAGCCTCAGGCCTGTACACTTTGACCAGCATGCTGTACATGCACCTGACGAAAGCTGATGCTAAATCAGTCTACCACTGCATAGTGGAGTACACCATGCCAGACAACCAGATCAAACAGGAGAGCTCCGATAACTTCAACATCTCATTGCAATGTGAGTTTTACACACAAACACACACACACACACACAATGAAATCTCCACCATTACTGCATATGTACTGTACTGCATATAAACTATTACTCCTCCAATCAGATTCAACAGAAAACGTCTTCTTCAAAGTGAAGAACGAGGGGCCAATCAAAGAGGGCGATGATGTGGTGATGCAGTGTGAGACTGATGGAAACCCTCAGCCACAGTTTGATTTTTTTAAAGGGGTAAGAGACCATACATGCCAAATCACAACCAACTGATCTAGTAATGGTCATTACTCTTACTCATGTTTTCTCGCTCACTCATAAGGAAAAATTGCTGGAAGGATTGGGAGGCACTTTGAAAAAAAAGAGCATCACTCGGGAGGATTCTGGAACTTATAAGTGTGAAGCTATGGATTATGAAGCTGACAGCAAAGTCCAACTTCATAAAACTCTAAACATAAACGTGCACTGTGAGTATGTAAACAAGACATAATAACTAAAATAAAGTATGTGAATAGTTTATTGATTCACAAAGTTTTCCAATACTGGGTTGCGGCTGGAAGGGCATCCGTTGCGTAAAAAGATATGTTGGTATAGTGGGCAGTTCATTCCGCTGTGGCGACCTCTGAAATAGAGACTAAGACAAAGGAAATTTGAAAGAATAAATGATTTCACTATGATCACACTAACATTTACATCTTTTAGAAGAGATAAATACATATTTTGAGAAAATGCTCATGAATTGGAGAAATTACTGTTATTATTATTGCATGGGCTGTACATATATGCTTTGGAAAACAACTGTGGGGATAAATTAAAGAGGATAAATTAAGAGTTCCTATAAAAAAATTCAAGTTCACTGGATTTACAGCATTTATTATTAGTGGTTTTTATTTGAGATGTTAATAATTGCTTAATTCTGTAAAAGTCTGATACCATTCTTTCTAAATTCTAATTGAAATATGGTCATTTAGAGAATTTATTTATTTCAGAGCATTTTATTAAAAAATGCCAGTTTTTTTTTAACTCAGGGCTATTTCACCAAATGAAGATCTAACTAAACTGTTGCATTTCAATGTTCAACTGGTCTTTTAATTTATTCTTTGTAATTATATTTCTTATTTATACTTTCAATCTTTAGTTATTTTAACTTTTGGGAATTCATTTAATTTGTTTTTGTGGTTTTTAATATTAAATTTATTGTATTTCACTTAGCTGCAAATGCTACATTTATATTTTTAGAATGGAAAATACCTGAAATGCAAAAAAAAAAAAAAAAAAAAAAAAATATATATATATATATATATATATATATATATATATATATATATATATATATATATATATATATATATATATATATATATATATAATGCTATTATAACTTGTCAAAATATGTTTTTTGTTTGCATTTTTATTGTTTAGCTATTTTGCTATTTCAAGAAGAATTTTCTAAACAAGCAAAACATATTGCCTTGTTTTGAGAAATATTATGCCAATATTAAGTCAGTTTTTCCTTAAAACAAGCAAAATAATCTGCCAATGAGGTAAGCAAAATAATCTTATGTCAAAAGAAAAAACAAGATTATTTTGCTTACCCCATTGGCAAATTATTTTGCTTGTTTTAAGAAAAAACTGACTTAATATTGGCATATTATTTCTCAAAACAAGGCAATATGTTTTGCTTGTCTAAAAAATGCTTCTTGATATAAGAAATTTTAGATATTTAGACTAGAAACAAGACAAAAAATCTAAGCAAGAAAAGCATTTTTTGCAGTGAAAGTATTAGCCATTTAAAGGCTAATAAAATAAATATGACACAGCTATATAACATACTGTACATGGGCATGACACATGCTACATTTAGAGAAAGAAAAAAATTGCCAAAAGTAATAATATTATTCAGAAGATCATAATTCACACATTAAATATTTGCTTTGTATAGTTTTTGTTTTACATTATTCAGGTGATACAAAACACAGATGTTTCGGCACTATGCCTTCCTCAGTGTGTGCCTTCCTGGTCCCACAGTCAATCACATTATGTCATTAGTTAGACAGCCACTCGATAATTAAATATAATCTCATTTTCATTTCAATAAACCACAATCAACTACAAAGGAAATATTTACCTTCGCCTTCAAAACATTATAACACTTGAAAATAGCATATCAATTATTATCACACACTTATTCATGTCTACATCAATGCAAGGAAATTCCGAAAGTTCAGAATAGTAAGAAATACATTTTCATTACATTATTTGTTCAAAATCTATGATTCACAATGTTATAAAAACAAACCGTTAAAGAAACACAGAAATGTCCAATTCCTCATTGATTCCTCTTGTGAATCATGACCTTCTGAATAATATTATTGACTAGATTAACACACCAAAAAAGTTTTTAAAAAATTGTGAGCATGCAGGGCAAACTTCATTACTCAGGCAAAAATAATAAGAAATAAATTTCCAAAACCTATTAATGTGGTTTAGTATTTCTCTGTAATGTAGAACAGTGCTGGAAATAACAGTGTTTCCCTGCCTTAATTACAACTCTAAAAATCTCCAAACAATTTAAATAATGTCATGTGTTTATTAGTCAATAAACTAGTCAACAAAGAAAATCTTTATCTTGACTGTATTAGCTTAGGTATCCAAACACCATGATTTTGTTATAAATGGGACGTATCCATCCTAGGCTCGATACATCAGAAAAGAGTTTTCTGAGAAAATGTCAAACAGCAAAAATTTCACTTAATCAAGATGTTGATTAAAAGATGTGTTTATCTCTATGCATTCTTTTGTTGTGCTATCAGATATCGACATAACAGTGGAACCAGAAGGGCCCTTGGTTGTTTCTAAAGGAGATCATGTGGAGCTTCAGTGTAAGGCCAAGGCTTCTGAAGCTCACACCCTGCAGTGGACAAAGGCAAGTGAAGATAATCTCTTCATTTTTTCCTGCACTCGTTTTTGTTATAATATTATGTTGTTGTTGTTTGTTATTACTCAAATACAATTAAGGTGCTAGTTCATCCAAAAAATCAAAAGTCTGCCATCATTGCAAAACCAGTTTGAGCTTCTTTTTTTCTGAGAGAAGATATTTTGAAGAATGTTGGAAAACCTCATTATTTTCCCCTTATTATAAAGTCAAATCAAATCATTTGTATTTAACACTTTCTACAATGTAAACTAAGTAAAAATAGCATCTACAAAAAAAGAGACAATAATTAATATTACGTATGATGTCAATAATTAAAAATGGAAATGGCAACGAGTGCAGCATGTGATGTCATCATTCACATACAGAAATGTCAAATACGTACTGTATAGCAACAAAATTAAGATAACTTTTTTAATCATATTTTCATATGTAATTGACACTTTTTGCTACTGCTTAAACAACAATGCTTTCTTTTTCCAAATATTTATTTTTTTCATGCACCTCTTGCCTGGGTGAGAGCCCAAGAATTAAATTCATTACCATTCACCATATCTTTATTGCCATTTCAAATCCATTTTAGTTCCTAACGAGACAGAATTTTAGCAGAGAGACAAAAATCTCCAATTTCAGTAAAAATAGCTTGAATTTTATGTAGAACATGAAACAAAAAGTCTTATTGGTTTGGAATAACACAAGCAAATCTGAATTTTCTTTTTCAAAATATTACTTTAAAGTCACGGTTCACCCAAAAATGAAAATTTACTCACTATTTACTCATTCTCAAGTCATTATAAACCTTTATGAGGTTCTTTGTTCCATTGAACACTAAATTAGATATTTTAAAGGAAGGTAAAAACCTGTTACAGGTTTTTAGCTTTCTTCATAATATCTTTATTTGTGTTAAACAGAATTAAAAAAACTCAAACCAGTGAAAACAAGTGAAAAGGGAGGAAATTATGGCAGATTTTTCAGTTTTGAGTAAAAAAATATTTTTATTTGGCTGTATATTTTTTGGTTATACTAAATCTTAGTTGACTCAGTGTCTACGTTGTCTTTCTGTAAACCACAGGACTCGAAGGAGCTGTCAAACACTGGTGTATTTGCTAAGGAGTCTGTGACTCTGGCTGACGGTGGTGTGTACGTGTGTGTCGGAGCTGTACCTTCAGTGCCAGGTCTTCAAAAACAAGTCAACATCACTGTTAACGTCAAAGGTATTGAGTGCATTACCAGACAAATACAGCTTTATTGTGGTTTATCAGTGCAAAGTTTCAATAAATGCTGTCATCAGTGTCATAGCAGCTTGTGTTCAAGTGATAGAGCTAAACTATGGGCTGTCAACAAACAGTCAGTGCTTGTTGTACCAGCTGGTTTTCATTGTGTGGATATTATTGTATGTTTAGATACAGGTAGGAGTTCAATGTCAGAGGAAAATACTTCCTCAATCAAGCGTGCCAATTCTAAAAATACAATTTATGCCACACAGATTGTAAGAATATTAAAAAAATGATCAGGCTGCGCCAACAGACCAGTTGAACTCAATGAGAAAACCCCTATAAAAATCTCCAAACCAAAAATGTATATGACACAAAATTAGTCAAAGATGGTCAAACACCAGTCAAAAGTTTTATTTAAAAAACAATAAAATTGTCAAAATATTAATACATTTTAAGATGTAATTTATTCCTGTTATACGAAAGAAGGCTGTATAGAAAAATAAATATACCCTGCAGTCAAAGGACATCTATGTCATATTGACATTGTACCCCAACATCTTGGGGACATTTGATTTTTGATTTTACCCCCAGCCATGTCACCCTGCAGCCCAAGACCGGTTACTCACTGAAGCTAAGCAGGGCTGAGCCTGGTTAGTACCTGGATGGGAGACCACTAGGGAACACTAGGTTGCTGTTGGAAGTGGTGTTAGTGAGGCCAGCAGGGGGCGCTCAACCTGCAGTCTATGTGAGTCCTAATGCCCCAGTAAAAGTGAAGGGGACACTACACTGTCTGTGGGCGCCGTCTTTCGGATGACATTAAACCGAGGTCCTGACTCTCTGTGGTCATTAAAAATCCCATGGCACTTCTCGTGAAAGAGCAGGGGTTTAACCCCGGTGTCCTGGCCAAAGTCCCCCTATCGGCCCATACGATCATGGCCTCCCAATCATCCCCATCCACCGAATTGGCTCTTTCACTGTCTCTCCACTCCACCAATAGCTGGTGTGTGGTGAGCGCACTGGCGCTGTTGTCCTGTGGCTGCCGTCGCATCATCCAAGTGGATGCTGCACACTGGTGGTGGTGTGGAGACACCCCACATGATTGTGAAGCGCTTTGGGTGTATGGCCATACACAATAAATGCGCTATATAAATACATTACATTGTTTGGAAATGAAAATTGGGTTTACATCAGTACCCAACGTCAGGTCGACATCAATGTCCAACGTCCATCGTAAAATTAACCAAATATTAGCATCTAATCATGTTACACCTTGACGTTGTGTGGACGATAGCACTATGACATCTATCAGACATTGGGATTTGGTCACTTTCCATTCCAACCTGAAATCAACCAAATATTAATGTAATTTGGTTTGGTTATTGGACCTCAAAAATCCTTATAGATATTAAATTTTGGTCACCTGACGTCATGACCTAAATCTAACCTAATGTTAACGTCTTATGATGTTGTGTGCCTGCTGCATAATTTTACGTCAATATATGGAATTGATTCAATTTCAAGGATTCATATTTAGCTGTTAATTTACATATATGTGACCGTGGACCACAAAACTATCAGGGTTAACTTTTGGAAAATGAGATTTAAAGAGCCCATATTATGGGTTTTTGAAAATTCCCCTCCATGTAGTGTGTAACACAGCTCTAAGTGAAGTGAAGTATCCAGCTAAGGCTTAAATCTGTAAGAATACAGTGTTTAAAACTGTTGATTCATCTATAAAAGAGTCGAATCATAGTGCTTCAAACGAGTCGCCTTGATACCGACTCATTAGGTGTTTCGCCATGACGTACGAACGAAACAAAGTTTTTCACGTGCACGCGCAAACCCGGGAGATTTCAAACCTGAGGCCCCGCCCTCTGACGCAGTAACCCAGACACACACACACACACACCCACAAACACACGCACACCCACAAACACACGCACACAAACATGCCGGTCGATTGAAGTCACACTGCAGATGGATATATTGAGTCTCTACCCAAAGATGAAACATCAGCATTATAACCAAGCAGTTGGAAACTTCTGGAAGCTACATGCTACAAAGAATACTTCATCTGAGTTTGTTAAAGGAAGGATCAGTAAAGAGTAACTGATGGACGTCAGGATGGGTTTCTTCCTACATTTCTCAAGTGTAAGTACGTGCGGTTAAAGTTGTTTCCTCGTTTACTCTAGCTTGCAAATGTATTTAGTTGTGATTTGTTACTTGTAACCGCGTGTACTGTATCAGGTTAACTGGATATATTATCTTATCGCGTGCAAAGTCACGTTAAAAACGCGACGCGTGCTGTTTGTTTATGGAGCTCCGTGCTAGAGTTCTGCTCCCGCGATTTATTCGGAAATGTATTCCCGCGCCGCAGAAATCTGGCGCGGGGAGAGAGAGAGAGAGAGAGAGAGAGAGAGAGAGAGAGAGAGAGAGCGAGAGAGAGAGCGAACGAACGAACGAGCTTTGTGTACTTTGTGCTGTGTGTATGTGTTTATACAGACATCTTGGCTGTCTGGACTGTATACTGGGTGATATTTGGTTGTGTTCTCCGCTCTAGCGGGACCGGGCGCGGCGGGCAGAAAACGGAGCGGGTTCTCAGGCTAAAACCTGGCGGGTGCGGGCTGAAGCGGGAGCGTTGTCATCCGGAGGTGTGTGTGTGTTTTTGTGTGTGTGTGGTATGGCGAGTACACGACTGTCTCCTTCGTTAGGTTATCCGTGGCACTATCCACTCGCCATAGTGTGGCAGCTAAAGTCAACGCCTACACTATCGAGCGTGTATGAACTGTGATTACTTTTTAAATTGCTGATTAGCTATTGGCCATTTCCCTCTCTGACTGAAGGCAGTCGACCAATCGCGACAGACTGTCATCGGCCCAATCAGCGCAGATTAGCTCCGCGCTAAGGAGGGGTTTGGGAACAAATGAATCACTGGACGATTCATACAGGAGTCGCTGGGATAATTAGATAAAAATAAATGCAGATTATAAGACCATGAAAGTGTTTTTTGACCTTGCATGCATATTAGACTGTTGTTGGAGACCCTTACAACCAAGATATGACCTTATTTCATGTATAATATGGGCTCTTTAAATATCATCTAAAAGCTGAAAAACTAGAAATTTTCATATTACTAATCCAAAATTACTCTTAGATAGGTTTGTTGAATGATATTTGCTAAATGTTTTCAATGAAGAAGATCTCTACTTAAGAGACTAATTATTTTTGGCATAAAATGAAAATCAATCATTTTAACCCATACAGTTTATTTTTGGCTATTCCCAAAACTTACCCCTGCAATATAAGACTTGTTTGTGATCCAGGTTCACTTATGTTTTTACTTTAAAGGGTACCTATGGTGTTTGGACAGAAACATGTTTGAGTATAGTGTATAGGAGGTCAAATTGGAGGTCAAATCGGGGTGATATAAACAGTCCTTTTTTTAAAATTTAATATTGTGTCCGTCCTGGGTATGTGTGTGTGTGTCTGTGTGTGTTTGTGTGTGTGCGCGTGAACTTTGTAATGACATTGTATGTGACTCATCGTTGTAACTTAACACTGCAAATGCATCAAATACTCATTGGTTAAGATTTTACTGTAGTATTTCTCACAAACACCACATGTGATCTGCTTCCTTTATGTGTGTTTGATTCATAATACATCTGTAAAAAGGGGTAACCTAGGTGCCCTTTAAATGATTAAATGTAAAGAAAATATACTAGCATATATATTACATTTGAGTTTGGATCAATTTTCAACAACCATTATTCCAGCCTTCAGATCCTTCAATTTCCAAAATCCATGATCAATTGTATGTATCCAAGATGAATCAAATGAATATTAACAAAGGTTTTGAACATAATGTGTATGTTCATAAAAATGCTTATCTCCTCATAAACTAGCTAAATGAGTTTCCTTGCAGTAAACAAACTCACCAACTAAATAGCATCATTAACATTCTCATTTACAGTTTAATATGATAAATAACTATTTGCTTATGCTGTACAAATGTAATTTGAACACCTTAAACTCAAGGTCTAAACAAACTAATTTCCATACTGTAATTAAACCACTCTTGTGTTTCTTTAACTTGGAAATACATTAATTCTGCTAAGAATTACTGAAAGAGATCAAATGAGACAGTTGAAGAAGAGAGTATCTCACTTTTTAAATCCTCATTGGCTTTGGCTTCACATCAAATGTTTTGATTAATCTGAAAGCAGTTTGATTTCATTCAAGGCAATTTCCTTAAACTCCTGAGATATTTCCAAGGCCACTAACAATGTGAGCAGTCACTGTTAAACTAATTCCTGTATTAATACTTGAATCCAGGCTGCTAAAGAGTGTTATCCTGCAGCTTGTTGCACTGTAACACTCAATGACATCTCATTGACATATCTTATGTGTGCAATCAAGAAAACTGTCATTTTAGTTGATTTCCTGGTTTTGCTCTATATGTCTACATTTACAGTATTCATGAGTGTAGTTCACACCTTTTCCTGGTTTCCTAAAGTTCCCCCTGGTTCTGAGCACATGGATTATGATACATTTTTATACTGAATATTGCAGTGATTATAAATGATGTATCCAAATTAATAAAAATATTGTACTATTCTCAGCTGATGCATTTTCTGAAGGAAACCAATGTATTTACATGATTCGAATTTGCATTGTAGCGAAAAATGGACCTGGAAACTGGAAATGCTGCAAAATTAGAATGAACTTCTATTTCCTTTCTTTGTCCTATAAATATGAATGAAAGTCAAAAGAGTCAAAGGAACTAAAAGTTTAGTCTGACCACACTTTAAAGTCAGCATGTAATTGAAGTTTTTTTTTCTCATATTGTGAAATATTTTTAAGTGAAAAAGCTTTTGGTAAAGATCTGATGTAGGACGGGATTTGATTTCATCCTTCAGTTTGGATCTTAAGAAATGCCATTACTAACTACACAGACAATTGTGGAATATTTATAGAGCCCCACTTTCCTCGAAGTGGAAAGGGAGGTTAATAGTTTAATAACAATTATGATTAGTGCACCTTTTATGATTTTTTTTTAAAGGTGCACTGATAAATCACCTGTATACTTAAAGGCACAGTATTTTGGGAGCAACAAAAGCAGTGGAGCTTTTATTATGCCACAGTGGGCCGCTTCTTGTTTTTTAGTCATGGAAGAAGCAGTGCTTTTTTTATCATTCTAAATACACTGTACAGTCTAATTAAACATATTAAAACGTCCTTGTTGTTTCCTTGTTTTCCAGAAAACCCAACCAGATTTTGAAGATTTGTGATATGATTAGCATGCCCACACAATACATGGCCCATGTCACTTGTCACTAGTTAAAATGACCTACAGTTGAATTCAGAATTATTACCCCCCCTAAATTGTTAGCTACCCCCCACCCCCCGGTTATTGTTTTCCCCAATTTCTGTTCAACGGAGAGAATATTTTTTAACACATTTCTAAACATAATAGTTTTCATAAACCATTTTTAAGCACTCATTTATTTTATCTTTGCATGATGACAGTAAATAATATTTTACTAGATAATTTTAAGACACTTTTATACAGCCTAAAGTGACTCAACTTGATTAATTATGTTAATTAGGCAGGTTAGGGTAATTAGGCAAGTGGTTGTTTGGTTTGTTTGTTGTTTTTTATTTTGGCTAGAATAAAAGCAGTTTACATTTAAAATAATAATAATAATACTAAGTCCACTGTTATACAATGACTTGACTAATTATTATAACTTAATCTAATGAACCTAGTTAAGCCTTTAAATTGCACTTTAAGCTGATTACAAATATCTTGAAAATATCTAGAACTGTCATGATGGCAAAGATAAAACAAATGAATTATTAGAAAATAAGTTATGAAAACTATTATGTCTAGTAATGTGTTACAAAATTAGTCTTTCCCTTAAACATAAATTGGGTAAAAAATAGAGGATGACTAATCATTTTAATTTCAACTACTGTATATATAAGTCAGCAAAATACTGTATATAATACTATTCTAGTATTTTTGGGAAAATTTAATGAAAAGAATCTTACATATTTTGCATTTAAGTACTATGTAATTTTATGACAATTTAAGAGTTCACATTTAGCTGATGATTGGTTATAAAGCTTGTTTGGCATACTGTCCCAGGAGAGAGCCCTGAGCTCATAAGATCCTCGAGCTTGAGGCTCTCTCCAGTTTGCAAGGCGAGAGGGGAGTTTAAGCTCAGATATAGATCTCCCCTGCTGTAGTAGCTAATGAACAGATAGGGATTGCTCTTAAGACATTGCTACTTACTAGGAGCATAGTGCCGATTTGGATTAGTCAGTTAACTTAAGTTGCATGTTTTTGGATGGTGGGAGGAAACCGGGTTGCCCCGAGGGAAACCCACGTGAGCACGGGGTGAACATGTAAACTCCGCACAGAAACGTTGGCTAGCTTGGTAAGGACTAGAACCAGTGACGTTCTTTCTGTGAGGCAACAGTGCTAACCACTGGATCACCCTGTCACCTATAGGAAAGGTGGAGGAGTAGTAGTGGAAGGGGGATTCTTCAAACAAAGATGGCTGTTAGACAGAACTTAGGGTATTTTTAGTGGCTTAGGAATCATCTGATTGGTAAATCATAAATTTGGATGATGCATGACCAGCTGCAAGCAATCATAAGCACATGACCTTCTCGAAATAAGGTTATAAATAAACTTCACTAAATGTGAATTTTGATTTCATGTAAACCAAATAAACTCAAAGATCAACCACTGATAATAAACCTGCACTTTTGCTTTGAAGGTCAGCCTGAGATTGATGCTCCAGTCAAGGGTTTGGTTGATAAGGAGGGAGGGATGGTCACTCTCAACTGCTCTGCTCTTGGTCATCCTGCTCCACAATTCATCTGGACACCTTCTGGCAAAGAGGTGCGTGTATGTGTGTGATGCGTGTGTTTCAAACAAATTAGGAAAACTGTTTTCACTGTATATTTGTAATGTGATTGATCTGCGTGTGTGTAGTCGGTGACAGTAAAAGGGAACAGGGTGATCAGCACAGTCACTCTTGAGGCCACAGCTGCAGTTCTGAAGGACGGTGTGATTTGTGAAGCGTACAACACTCATGGAAGAGACAGCAAGAACTTCGAGGTGAAACTAGGTTAGTGCAAACAGGCTGAAGCTGTGTTTGGATTGGACTACTGTACTCAGGAAATTACTGTTCCAAATAACAGTGCTGAGGAAATATTGGACAGAACACAGTCATGTTGAGCTCACTTGCATTGTTTTCTAGTTTTGGTTTAGTTGCACAAAAAGTATGAGAATATATATATATATATATATATATATATATATATATATATATATATATAGTATGCACAGTTGAAGTCAAAATGACTAGTCATATGAAAATTGTATTAAAATTTTCCAAAGTTCTGTACCCAACACATGTTTACCTGTTATTGGATACAAGTATTGGTTGCGAGGAAATAAATTGACTAGCACTGGGGGTTTATGAGTTAGTGAAGTAAAACATGTGCCCGAATAATTAGTGTATCATTTTGCTGTGGTGTCCTCTGATAAAACAGGGACTAAACTGAAGAAAGTGAGCGGGTGAGTGAAATTCTCTGGTAAGATGATGTAACGCTAGAACAGCGGGACATCCGTGACTTCTTTTCTCACTTTTTTCACAGCTTTTATTCTCGTGCACTGATCCGTATGCTAAATTGTACAGTTAATTAAAGTGGTCTGTGGTATGGCCCCAACCCCAGTTCAACATGCTGAAGTGGATGAACAGCCAACTGCATGAGCCCGACTAGACTCTTACCAACGGCCCAACTTTGACAGATGGCCGACAGCCATTCTGGTGTTACAGCCTTTAGAAGAGTATAAACAGACTATAATAATTGTCCATTCAGTTTTATGTGAATTCATAATATGCTGAAAATGCAAAGCATAAAAATTCTGTCTCAGTGGTTTGTTGATTTTAGGAAATGTAATTATTTTAGGAATAAATTATTTTAGGTTTGTTGATTTTAGGAAATCTAATTATTCATAATGATTGAATGATATATCATGTGCATTATTAATTGTTTATCATTATACATTCCAATATGTTTGATCAATATTTGATCAATTTTGTGCTTGCCACATATCAAAGAGCTTAGCTTACGCTTGTGATTTTTGCATCCATCCAAGTGCTTGGCTGAACTTGTACAGCTCTTAAATCATAAATCAGAAAAAAACATATTGGGCCCCAAGAAGAAGAAGGTCATATGATTACTACTTAAAAAAACAAGTTCTCCAAACATGCATCTAAGACAATAGTCTCAAACTCGATTCCTGCAGGGCTAGGAATAGACTACTGGAGAATATTAAAAAAGTTGTCAGTTTGATGTTGGAGCAAAAATCTGCAGAGCTGTGGTCTTCGAGGAATTGAGTTTGAGACCATTGTCGTAGATGCATTCATGGAGAACTTGGTGTGCTTTTTAGCTGTAGTCATCACATAACCTTCATCATCTTGGCACCCAATATGTATCTTAAGAATAATTTACAAGGTGTAATATTTTCAGAAAAGCCAAAGAATTGCTTATAACAAACTGGTACTTCCCATTTTTGGCAGAGCTTATATGTCTATATTTTCTTATGTGGTTAGGGCATTAGTAAGATTGTCTACCTTTCTCAGAAATATAGCATCTTGTGCCAGTAGTGTTCTAATGGATATCTACATATACTGTATATCAGCAACTTTATTTAGTCTATTTGCAAGGTCACAGTGTGCTATACTTTAACACAAGCTTCTTAACAAAGAGACTTCGGACACCATAATGTATAAAAGGAAACATTGATGTTTCCTGCCCCAGTTCACAGTCTGCAAACTGTTGGATTCACACCTCTGTTCTTAACTTCTGCATTTGAGGTTAATTCTCTTTAGTACTTTAACTCTAGTTTAATTAGTTTAAAACTAGTTCAATCTGACTCTTTGATAAGTATAATTACTTTCGACTTTAATGTAGTTAATTATACTCTCTAATGGTTCTATGGGTTTACATTAGTATCCTAATTTGCTCTTTCGTCTTATTGATTGGAATGCTGTTGACCAAATTGATTGTATTTGTGATACCACTGCTTGTTTTGAAATATTAATGTTACAGTTTTAAATTATTGTCCTCCTTATTGATTATTATAATAGTCAACATTTGCATTTTATTCCAACCCAATCCATCCAACAAGCATTCAATCTTATACGTATCTTAATCTTTAAAAATAAATAAATAAATAAATAACAACACATCATGTTACTTTCCTTAAAGGAACTAAATAACACATTTATTTACTTTATAAGTTACTTAAGATTGCAATATATTACTTTTAAAAGTAACTTTACCCAACATTGATCACATGAATCAAATTATTTCAAAATTGAGAAATTTGCCAAAAAAAGTTTATAGTTTCAGTCACTTAATAACAATTTGTTGTTTAACATCTCTATCATAAAAGAGTTGTCAATTATTGTATTTGTGTACTCTTTCACAGAAGTGCTGCACTGAAATTTATACTTGGGTTTCTGTGAGAAATAAAGCTTACTGTATTTTTAACTGATGAAAAGAACATTTGCAGTTTTTAATTTACTCCAACCAAATAAAATGTAAGCAAGTCCTACGCAGACAATCTACTATTGTTCACAATACAATGTTTATGAATCTTAGCTTTGAGGCAATAAAAATAAAACTGTGGCTTATTGGTTGCAGCATCTTCAGGTCTTCTTAACATAATAAACCACAAAATAAATCCGCCTTGGAATGCTAATCAATGTTCAGAAGATTATTGACATTATTACCTAAATTATTATTGGGTAGGCTCTGTGTAGAACCACTTTTGATACTTCTGCATACAAAAAGCTTATTTTGTAGCACACCATTCCAAGTAAACTTTATGCATCAACAAACAAAGATTTACCCTCAAAACATAACCATTCTCTTAACATTTTTTTCTCTCTCTCTGTGCAGATCAAGCAAAACCCACACCTGCCAATTCTGACAGAGGTAGACACTTGTCCCAGCTCTCTCTGCTCCTTCTCTCCTTCTCAGGACTCTTTCTTGTACACACTCTGTGATCTTGCTCTCCAGCCCTTTACACTGTATATTATGTACTGTTACCAATCACTGTGTATATTGTATATTGTATTACGTATGTGCTCTTTGTATGATTGTCCGTCCTCTATTTTGTTGATGCTGCACCTTTAACTTTTCCTTCACTGGGGTCAATAAAGGATTCTGTTCTATTTTACTATCCTCTCTTTCCTTCCTCTTTGTGTCTGTCTCTTAATACCGTTGTCTTTTCCGTCCATCCTTGAGTGCGTTGACAAGTGTGTCACTTCTCTGGTCACTCTAGTGTGTGTGTGTTTGTGTGTGTGTGTGTTTGTGTGTGCAGGTTTATGTGATTTACAAGGACACAGAATTGTATAATGACATGGGTATGACCTAGTCGTACTCTATTATGGTGATTTACGAGGACACGCTTTGTCTTCTTGTAATGCAAATTGCTTAAAAATCTTAACAGGGCCTTTTGACCTTCAGATTTTGCTACTGGTTTCATATAAGGGTTTGGTTTATGGGTAGGAGTAAAGTAAGGCCATGTAAAAAGCGTTTTTTGCATAGTAAAAATGCTGTGTTTCCACAATTCCTTCATGTTGTCCCAACCCAAATCGATTAAGTAATTGATTTAACAAATTTGAGTGGATAAAAATAAATAAGTGGTCCCAAAAAAATCTCAAGAATAGTTTCAATTCATTTAAAATAAGTAGTTTGAACGAGCTGCAAAAATATTTTTTGGAATACACAGTATACAGCAAATTCAGAAGAATTAAAGAAGTTATATCTAATACCTCTTTAGACCTTTTTTAAGACTCTTTCCAAAGTCTTTTCCAAAGACCTCATCGCCACAAGTTTAAAACTAACTTAAGGTGCTTTCACACCTTTGGAGTGATTATTTTGTTCCAAAAAAGAGATGAAAATTGTTGCAATGTTGCACTTTGTTCTTGGTCTGGTTTGCTTTCACATGACAAAGTTTTTAAATGGACCAAAATAGCTAAAACATGTCAGGTGCGAATAAACTCACCTCACATTGGTCAGAGTTTCATGATTTATTTTTAAGAGACCTCCTGGGTTGTCATGTGTCCTTATTTTATTTTACATTATAAAGAAAAATAACAGATAATCCAAGACCAAGGTCAATTTTAACGGATAAACAGCTATCATTAATAGTTAACATGCTTTCAGTTTTGTATTTGACATGAGATGCACATTCACTGGTAGGAATGACATTCCGCCCTACTCATAATTCTGTCTTCATATAGCCATATATGCCTATTACACTGTGATAAAACCAGGTTTGGATCGTATTGCTTTCTCACTACAATCAATCCGCTCCAGAGTTTGTATCGTCGAGTCGAGACCGCCTCATTTGGTGCAGAGTTCCACACAATTTATTCCTGATGTCCCAACACAATTAAGTAAACTTCAAAAAATTAAGTGGATTGAACATAAAACAATTAAGTTGTCTCAAATTGTGTTATTTCAATTACCTTTAAATAAGTAGTTTGAACAAGCTACAAACATATACTGAAAAAAAGAATTTTGCTGCTTGTTCAAACTAAATATTTAAAAAGAGTTGAAACAACACAATTCTTAAGATTTTTTGAGACAACTTAAATATTTTAATCAGTTAGATAAATAAAAAAAGACAAATTTGCAATCATTTTAAGTGGTGAAACATACCACATGCTGTACATTACTTGATTCTTTAGTTTACCCCAGACAAAGAACAAAAAATAATACCACTGAAAAAAATTATCCAGAGATGACTCGTTGAATTTACTAAATTTTTTTACGTAAGGTGGTTGTAAACTATTTTTTTGTGTTGAATTTAAACAAACAAATTAAGTTAAACTTTATTAAACTTAATTTGTTTGTTTATATTCAACACAAATTAATTGTTTGCAACAGTTCTGCAGGCAACACTTTTTTCAGTAATGCAGTAATTGTGCATAGAGTTAACAACAAATCGAGTGGGATTGCATAAGTAAACTAGAATCCAACTATTTGCCCAGACAATGATTCAATGATTCATTCTCCCTAAAAAATCAAAAAAAAAAAAAAAAGTATACGATAAAAAAAATATTATAAAAAATGTAATAACTTGGAATACCTTTAGGATTTTTAAATAAATTTGAAGGGCCTTCATTTTCTCTAAGTTGAATGATTAAATAATTTATGACTCAGCTATCATCTTTTCACACTTTTTAGCATGTTACAGACACTCTGGTGTAAAATTCATTATGCATATAAAAAGTCCTCGTAAACCATATATATACAAGTTTGTTTGTGTGTATGCGTGCAAGTGTGTGTGTTCGTCTTCATCTTGGTGGTGTGCCTTGTTGCGTGTTAATGATTATTTTCATGTGTGCTGTTCAATGGGACTCAACTTTCTCTTTCCTATAATGCTGCTTGAAGGAAATCCTGACTTTAAAACAGGTCTGTATAACCCCTGCTGCTTCTCTGTCTTTGCATGATGTGTAAAACACTGTCTGTTGCTTTCAGATCTTTTTTTTTTAAATCCTGACATTATCTATCACTGATTCCTTTATGGGTCTCCCGTTAGCACTCAGCAAAAGAACAATTCCTTATTGTTCTTGTTTACTTCCTCCCCACCCTTTTCAACACACCCGTTCCCCTTCCGTGTGCCACTTTCTCTTCCTGTCCGGCCAAAACTCTTCTGCACGCTCACCATTAACCAGTACCCTCTCTTGTTGTTGGTTCTCCTCAGTGGAAGGAAAGCAGGGCGGTTCGAGTTCTGTGGTGATCGCTGTGGTGGTGTGTGTCCTGCTGCTGCTCATCCTGGTGGCTTCGCTCTTCTTCCTTAATAAGAAGGGCAAACTAGGCTGCGGGAAGAAGGACCAGAAGGAAGTGTGAGTGGCACATACTGGGATCATTGACTTAGCAGGACATAAAGCTGTATAGTTGTTTGTAACTCTTCTTTGTGTGTCATTTCTTTGTTCCAGGGCTTCTGGAGGAGTGAAAGATAATATTGTGGTGGAGATTAAGCCCAGTGAGAAAAGCAAGGAAGAGGCTGGTCTGCTAAAGCCTGCAGAACAGGTGAGCGATCAAAGAAAAATATATATATATATTAGGGATGTAACGGTATCAGAATTTCACGGTACGGTAATACCTCGGTATGAATGGCACGGTACGGTATTTATTGAATCATTTACAGGAAAAACAAAACTAATGAAAATACCCCAAAAAAGTGCCAAAAGTGTTTATTTACCTTAGCACTGAACATATCAATGACAAACAAATTAGCCATCTATCTGTAAGCTTTGAAACAGGAACTTCAATTTTTCAATTTTAATAACAAAAAATCATTAAACCATGTAAAAAAATAAAGTTTCAATTTAGTATTGTTGAAAACTCATCACATTCAACATTTAATCACTCACTCACTCACTTGGATAGAGATGGGTTTTAAGGAAAATGATATAACTATAATCTGGTAAAAGCTGGTATCTCTGGGCATTTACAATGTCCCCTGCAACAGAAAAACCCCTCTCATTTGGGACTGAGGTTTCTGGGACAGATATGACTTGGCCCAGGTTGACAGCAGTGGGTAACGTTGTGCATTGTCTTTCCCCAACTTGAGAGGACAAGCCATGAGTGAGATAGAGGTCTCTTTGCGGTACAAGTCAATGTCTGCATCAATCTGAACAGTGTGCTGTATTCTGCAGTCCCCATGACTGTTATTAGTCGTATTCCCCAACTTGCAGGCAAGTGCACACATAGGGCTCAACCTGTGCAGTGCACATGCCCTTTTTAGTCTTGGATAGAAAGTGCCCTTTCAAAATGATCAAAAGGGCCCTTGCGATGCGACACACCCTCCGTCCTGCCCGACGCAACAACAACGCTATTCAGTACGCGTCAACAACAACACCCCCAACCGAAATGCTTCCACACATCCGATTTAAAACCCGCTTTAGGTTTGATCATTTCCAGCTCTTTTTCATTCCCGCTACAAGCAGCACACTCCATTTCCGCATTACTGGATCTGTAGCGACAACAGACCGCAAAGGATGATGGCCCCGCCTGGGCTAATGGGAATTGTAGTTTCCGCTACCTTCCGGAAGCTTCATTCGCCTGAGCAAATTTTCTCAGAAGACCTATAGTTTCACCGAGTCATGCGACTACGGTAATATTGAAAAAAATTGCTATTGCGGTATGACGGTATTTACAATACCGTTACATCCCTATATATATATATATATATATATATATATATATATATATATATATATATATATATATATATACACTCATACACAAACACACACACACACACACACACACACACACACACACACACACATATACACTGTTAAAGTCTTATATCTTTTATTTTGGCAAGAATAAAAGCGATTTATAATTTTTAAAAAACCATTAAAGGTCAAAATTAGCCACTTTAAGCTATATTTTTTCAATATTCTTCAGAACAAACCATTGTTATACAATAATATGCCTAATTACCCTAACCTGTCTAGTTAACCTAGTTAAGCCTCTAAATGTCACTTTTAATTAAATAGAAGTGTCTTGAAAAACATCTAGTCAAATATTATTTACTGTCATCATGGCAAAGATAAAATAAATCAGTTATTAGAAATGAGTTATTAAAACTATTATGTTTAGAAATGTGTTAAAAAAATCTTCTCATCTGTATATCTGATTTTAAGCATGTATTAACTAGTAAGCTTTCCTCTTTCACAGTGTTAAAACAAAGAAGAGAAACAAAGGAGAGAGACAAACAAAAACAAAATCTCCAGAGATGTGGAGGAGGACATGTTGGAATTAAGAGTGTTCTGATGGAGGACGAGAGAGAAGATGGAGGCAAGAGAAGATAAATTCAGTTTAGCTGTACAGTTTTTCTTTTTTTTTTTTTGTAGGAGGGGCTGTGATTTTTTAACTGTGGGTGGGTTTTAGTTTAGAGGGGGGAGGGGCAATACATGTAAATCTGGCATTATTTTGATAAGGGTATCTACTGTGTCCTAACTGTGTAATCAAACCAGTCTTTGTCCAGTCTGAACAACTGTATGAAGCTCATCTTGAGCGAAACTTAAAGCAGTTTTACCCATAACACATCAAAAAAGAGACTGTGGACACTGGATGTTGCGTTCCCTCATACTGCACTGCACCCTGGTTATGTCTGGTAGTACATGTTGTTCAATAGTAAAGAACAGACTCTTTTGTGCATCCACACTGCACTCACGGTGCACGTTTGATTGTAAACTGAATTCATGTCATTATGCAAAGAAATAAGCCCAACAGACTATTGTACTCTTTGCTCATAAACTGCATGACCATTTGTGGATGTACCATACACACACCGTCCCTTCTGTGCTGGTAAAATGATCACGCTTTATCATTCAGACCAGCTTTTGTACAGTCAAAAATTCACACTGCAAAAAAAATATTTTCTTTTTATCTTGTTTCTAGACCAAAATTCTAAAAATTATTTTCTAGACAAGAAATATTGTTTTGTTTTCAGAAATAATGTGTCAGAATTAAGTCATTTCCTTAAAATAATCTAAAATAATAAATGCAGTAAAATAGCAAGTAAAATAAATTTACTTCAAAGCTCAAACAATAATATTTCGCTTATCCCATTGGTGCATTATTTTGCTTGTTTTAAGAAAAAAAAACTTAATTAATTTTGACATATTATTTGTAAAAACAAGACATTTTTAACTTGTGTATTTGTTAAATGCTTCTTGTTATAAGTATTTTTCTACATTTGGGAAAAAAACAAGACAAAAAAGTACACAAGAAATCTTTCTTTTTTTTTTTTTTTTTTTGCAGTGGATGTTTTTCCTTCGGATATGTTAGATCCTGGCCTAAACACCACACCACAAAATCCCACACTTTTATATTTCGAGCTAAAACCAAAAGCCAGTGGTGCCACTAACAAACAAACAAACAAACAAACAAAATGCCTGAGAATCACTTAGAAACCTTGTAGCTCAGGTCTGAGAGTAGTGGAATTGAACTAACTGGATCATCTAATTTCCTTTGAACTGCACTGAACTCTGTTTGACAGCCCAAACACGTTCACAGACCTCAGGCTTACTGTGTAATTATGAAGCATGGGTTAGCAATGGGACAGGTCAGGCCTAACTTCTTTAAAATGGCTCCTGACAGTATTACGTATGATTGGGTTATATATTGTCAACTCCACCTCTCTTTTCAATTATTCAAGTGCTAAAATGAAATGGGGAAATATCTATGTAATGAGCACAAATTATAATGCACATGCTGTCCCTATATATCTTTCTGCCTTTTTTTAACAAAAGTTATTCATATCAAGTAGGTTGTCATTATTTATATTTAGAAAACAAATCTAATTGAACACATTTAGACTTTTCTTAAAAATTAGATCTGTTCAATCTGTGCTTAGATGTTTGTGTGAAACCTCTTAGACATTATGCATAAAGGCAAAGTTCACCCAAAAATGAAAATTCTGTCAAACAGTTTTTCTATTTTGTATTTTGTTTAAGCTAAATGAAGATATTTTAAACAATGTTGAAAATCTGTAACCACTGACGTCCATAGTATTTGTTTTTCAAGTCAATGAGCACTTTCTTTAGTATATATTCAAGTATAGTGTTCAACAGAAGAAAAACTGCAGGCAGAGGACGTCATATTACATCGGGACATTGGATTTTGTTTGGAAATAAAATTGGGTTGACATCAGTACCCCAACATCAGGCCGACATCAGTGTCCAAAGTCAGACCTAAAATCTACCAAATATCCACATCTAATCATGTTACACCTTGACGTTGTGTAGACGTTACCACTATGACATTTATCTGACGTTGGATTTTGGTCACTTTCCAACACAACCTGAAATCAACTAAATATTAACATAATGTGACGTTTTTATTGGACATCAAAATAAAGTTGTCCTTAGACGCTGGTTAGACACTGAATTTTGGTCATCTGACGTCACAACCTAAATATAACCTAATATTAATGTCTTATGATGTTGTGTGCCTGCTGGGAAAACAACAACAAAAAAAACCTCAATCTGGTTTGGAACAAGTCAAGTAAAGTCGAGTAAATGACAGAATTCTCATTTTTGGGGGGTGAACTATCCCTTTAAAATGGACAGTTCAATCAAAACTGATTTGTCACCATTTATGCAAATCAAACAAGTTGACTTTGTCTTCAGTGGAGCACATAAAAAGGCTTGAAAAAGTATTGCCATATTTTGTTTTAGAGTCAATCATTTTATGGCTTGGAGTGACAATGATACTGTGAACTGTCCTTTTAAATTCTTAGAGAAGAAGATAAACATGAACATTTGTTACAATTTAAGGCAGAAGTGTCCAACCTCGGTCCCGGAGAGCGGGTGTCCTGCATATTTAAATTCCAACCCCAATTAAACACACCTGAATTAGCTAATCAAGCTCGTTTTACATATGCTAGAAGCTTCCAGACTGGTGTGTTGAAGGAAGTTGGAGCTAAACTATGCAGGACACCTGCTCTCCAGGACCGAGTTTAGACGCTCCTGATTTAAGGGATTGGGCCAGAATTAGTTTTCACTGTTAGTAATCTGCTTTTTGTTATTTATCAATATTGTTATTCGTCACCATTATCATTTGCTTATTGTTTTCTTTAAACCAAAAAATATGATTTAAGAAAAACATATGGTGTAAATTCATTTCTTCAAGCTTGTATATGATGTTCTGTTTTTTTCGCATATATATGTATCTTGTTTCTAAGTCAGTAAAAGCACACTGTTGTTCAGGTGGCACAGCTGGAACATTCTGGAATCACTGTATTGTTGGAAACCCTGTCATTTTTTCCCAGGCCCTGTTCTTAAACAAAGCCGTGGACCTTGTTATTTGCTTCAAATAACAGATTCCCAAATCTGCTGTTCTTTCAGTTGGGTTTTCTGCGTGTCAGTGCACACCCAGGGACAAATTTACAGACATTTCCACAGTTTCAGAATACTATCACAGACTGTGATTCTCTTTAACAACAAAACAATGATTCCAGACTCTCTAGACAGAAGGTAAAAGGGTTAGTTCACTCAAAAAAATTAAATTAAATAATCATTTAGTCAAGTGTTTCTCAAATGGCATATGTCCTTCTTCCTTTTTGGGCCAAAATGAGATAATTGTAAAATAAATGTCCTGTCGTACTCATCCAAATGATAACAGCAACCACCATTAAACTTTAAAAAGTATGCTATGGTATCACTGGATGTTCTGTGTAAATGAGAAGTAAATTCCAAGTATTCAGGAGCTATATGATAGCATTTAATGAATAAAAAGTAAATTGTCATTTTTAACTGAAATCTAATGTGAATGTTTGTCATACTCAATGATATGAGATTATATTAGGGCATCATTTTGACAAATCATGCAAAAAAACAAACAAAAAAAATGCAAAATGCAAAGCCTACACTGTAAAAAAGTGTTTAGTTGACTTTACTTTTTAAAAAAGAGTAAACATGTTTTTTTAAATCGATTAATTTAAAAAGTGTGTAAACCATTTGCCTTAAAATTTAAGTCCCCAAGAAATCAAAACTAACCATATAATTTTGTTAGCTCACGTTGCTAGTTTTGTGGTGAACAAATTAATCTGTGCATGCCATTAAGAAAAAAAAGGTTTGCCCTTCTGATCTTTAATTGTAATCTGAAAATGCACTTCCTGTTTGATTTCAGTTAAATTGTCAGATTACGGACATCTTATCAGTTGGGTGTGGCTAACATTTAACTACTGTCAGTTTTGATAACAATCATAAATGGTGTGAAGGAGTTGTCTGTTAGGTTGTAACTACTCTCCACAAACCCTTCTGAATGAAACGCCTACTTTACTACATCCATTCAGCCTATAGTAGAAAAAAATAAGCCACACCCACTGTTTTGTCATTTAATTTTCCATTTTTCTAGGGACTGTGTCAAAATACGAAACAAATTACAGCCGTAGCTTCTGGTTCATGGGGACTTAACTATGTGCCTAATTTTACAATTCAATTAAGTCAACCTTACCGTATGTTCACACCGAAAGCGGCGAGACCGTCCAAGGTCGCTCTGGTCGCCCTGGTGACAACGCTGTCTGCCTTCAGCTCTGGCGGCGAGAGCGTCAAAACTCGCTACATTGATCTCGTATTTAAAGGAGCGGTTGTTGCATATCAGTTACATTCCTGCATAAAACATGTTTTTAGCATGAAAATGTTGCACACTTCTTATCAAATTCATATAACAATGGAAGATCAAGTTGCGTGTGGTGTGACTTTGCTCTATTTGTCCAACATGTGTCCATATGTCTGAAATTTCCTGAAGCAGCTATACTGTTTTGTACTGTCACGTTGCATGAGATTCTCACTTTTTTAAAGATAAATATATATATATATATATAACATTAATGCAAATCAGTTTTCTCGCCAGTAAATTATTTAATGCATGTTCGTGTAAGAAAACATTGTAAATAATTGGAAATCAGGCAACCGCAAATCTTTAACCCTTGGGAACAACTGTGGTCGGAACCAAAGTTCACAGGTCTGTGTTCTCTGAACTCCGAACCGCGTCATAGCTCATTACCATAAAGTTGACTTGATTTCAACTGCTCCTCGCCGCTTATCGCTGCTGGCTGTCATTGAAAATGAATGACTTCTGGCTACTTTGACGCTCTCACCGCTTTCGGTGTGAACGTACGATAACACTTCGAAGTTACAAAGAGTTCACTCACTTGTTTAGGTAAGTTTAACTTGTAGCTTTTAAGACAGGTTTATTCACTTTTTTAAGTGAAGAAATTCCACCAAAAAACTATAGCTGTCTCATTTTAGAGGCTGCACCTTTTGAAGGGTGCATTCGAAGAGCGCTGCGTGATCATCATGGTGCTACAAAGGCAGTCTCATTTAAAAAAATAATAAAAATTGAAGGCTCTTTCAAATGTTGCCTTTAAATGTGTCTTTCATTTCCCAAGTAATGAAGGACACAATCTTCATCTAAAAAACATCCCAAAATTCATTGCACACTAAAAACGACACAACATTTTAAAAAGAAAACTCTGGAATAAATGTATGATTTAGGTTTTATTTTACTTGGTTATCTAAACACATTAAAAAACAAAAACAAAAAGAGTATGAAATGCCTTACTAAATAGTTAATTTATAGACAGTTTATGTGTACATGTATGGATCAAAGAAAATCCAGCTTCTGTAAACCTTGCTGTGCTTTCCGATCACTTAAAATAAGTTTTAAAATCACTTTGAAAATAAGTCATTATAAATTATTATCGCTTATCAATGGCAGCTCTTACCGTTGCTAGGTGATGAGATCTGTCCTTTGTAGGCTAGATTGTCTTTTTTCAAAATGCTCAGTTGGGCTTGTGTGGACTTCGAAGGACTCGCCTTTGAAGTCTGCATCCTTTAGAGATTGCAACCTCTGAAATGACACAGCTAATGTGTGCTGCTTTTTGTTTCTTTGTCTTTGTTTAAATATCTATATTGGAACTCCAGTTGACCTATTAAAGAGATAACATTTTCTTCTGGCAAACAAGAACTAAGAAACTAGAACTTTGTGAATTGTTACTTTGAAGATAAATGGTGGTCAGGATTTTTAATGCTATCTTAAATAGAAATAATGTTATATGCCATTCAAACAAAACGTCAGGTGAATGCCTTAATCTTTTGGGTGAATTATCCCTTTAAATACCATTGGGTGAGAGAATGAAGGGGACTGAGAAGAAATGAGGTGTGTAGAGAATAAAAGAAAGCTGTGCTTGGATATAAATTTATTATTATTATTTACCTACTGAGTCTTTTTGTGTAGTTGAGAGTGTTTTAATGAATCACTAGGTATTAATTGTCCACTAGACACATGGAACATGAGCTAAAACATCTCAGACACTGGAAACATGTGTGATGGCCAGTTGTGTGAAGGCCTCTGTCTCAGACTCAGATGTTTTTCCTAATGCATTTTTTCATATTTGCTGATTTCATTTTGCAAAATGTAGTCATATGTCAATGTGTAATTTTAGAGTTACATGGAATATTTACATACCAAGATAACTGAATGCCATTTTTTTTAGAAAATTGTGAAACAAAAAGGTTTTCCTTAAGAAAAATTTTGTGTCTTAACTACTGAATGATGATTCTGACAATTTCACTGGTTTTGCAAGAAAGAAATGCGCTGTTTTGAATAAGATATCATACTTTATGGATGTCTGCAACTGTTTATGCCCTTTAGGTATACTGTATATTTTGTGGTACGCACTTGTGAACTTTGTAGCTTGTCTTTTTCTGACTGGAACTGTGTAGAGTTTATACTGCCAAAAAAACAACAACAACAACAAATCCAAACTGTGTCATGTTTGTGTTTAAATTGTACACTTTCTGTAACCCTATAGGTATATTCATACTTTAAATGGCTAAATCAATTAGAATCAACACGGTTGCTCACTTTAACATTCGAGTTTCCCTTTGGGGTTTCAGTGTTTGTTCTCTACTTCTAATGACAGTTCAAATTTAACAGGCTGTAATCTTTTGGAAACGTCAGGGTAAGTGTATCATGCATGATCTTGTTAATCATTAAATGATGATGCGATTTTCCTATAGGGGACTTCTACATGTAAAGACAGTATTACCTTGGATAAGAGACACAAGCTTCCGTCATTTACAATTATTGCATTATGTAATCTGATAGTCGTGGGGTTTGGTTATTTCATCTTTGTGAGAATGAACCATCATATTTTGTGATGTGAGAATAGACACAATACAACAAAACTAAAGTGCTGTTAATCAACAATGCTGCAGATCACCTCACCAATATATATAATGCAACCCAGAATTTCTTTTTCAGTCTGTGGGTTCAATGTGATTCATTTTGTAGAACAAAACTATAGGAAAGTCTAAAATTTCTGAAATGTCTGCCACAGAGATTAGATTACTCTTAAATCAAAACCGTACAGAGACTTTCGTGTGAAAAGTGGTTTGTAGACAGACAGCACATGCACGTCATCTTTTTTAACACAATTTGTGGGGGTTGGTTCTCACACATACAGTGCTCAGCATACATGTATATACAGTTGAAGTCAGAATTATTAGCCTCCATTTGAGTTTATTTATTTATTTTTTATATATATTTTCCAAATGCTGTTTAACAGAGCAAAGGAGCGAAGACAAGAGGTTGGTTCCAAATGCAATTTTTAATGAAAAAGATTATTCGTGCAGGCAAAAACAAGGTCAAAAAACAAGAATTCGGGTATCATAAGGGGCATCAAAAATGCAAAAACAAAGCAGTGATCAAAGTTCAAAAAGTAACCAAACAATCATCAAAACAAAACAAAACTATGAACAGAATATGTAGACGACACTCTCTGAAACCATACAGGTATCGACAAACAAAGACTCGAACAAAGCCTTGACTGGTGTGTGAAATGTGTATAAATAGTCCAGACAATTCATGATGATGGTATTCAGTTGTGTGTGAATAAGGGTGAATGGTATCTGGTGTGGGCAATAGCATGCTGGAATATGTAGTTCCTGAATGACTGACTGAGTGTAGTATGCAAACGATCTTCCAGGAACAGATTGCTGGTTATGTGAAACAAACCATCATTATACAATAACTTAATTATCCTAACCTGCCTAGTTAACCTAATTAACCTCGTTCAGACTTTAAATGTCAATTTAAGCTGAATACTAGTGTCTTAAAAAATATCTAGGAAAATATTATGTAATGTCATCATGGCAAATATAAAATAAATCAGTTATTAGAGATGAGTTATTAGAACTATAATGTTTAGAAATGTGTTGAAAAAAAATATTCTCTTCATTTAACAGAAATTGGAGAAAAAAATATTAAACAGGGGGGCTAATACTTGAGGGGGGATAATATTTATGACTTTAACTATAAGTACACCCTTCACAAATCTATCTTTTATATTCATATTTTTATATCTTGAGCTTATCTAACTAAATAGCTTATGATAACAGTCCAAAAAAAAAAAAAAAAAAAGAGTACACGCAAATTTATATGATATAGAAAAATATTAAATACAAATTTAAATAAAGATGAAAACTCGAGAAGCAAAAAAATAAATAAATAAATAAAACATTTGTTTGAAATTTTGTAGGTTGTAATTTATTTTCGCAATATTTTGCTTGAATTTAATCGTATTATATTTCAATTTCTAAAGATGTTTGGTGACTAAATTAAAATTTTAATAAATATATCTGTTTGATAAATCTGTTTTGTTATATGCACCAAAATACATTGTCTATATTCACTGAGAAATGGAGAAAAATATTCTTTTTCAAAATGGGGTGTACTCAGTTATGCTGAGCATTGTAAATGTACTCGGAAAATGTTTATTTGCTTAGTTGGTAAGCAGCAAAGCCTAAGCAAATATTTAGTGGGCCCAAAATATTTACTGTCTGATCGGCTGATCTGTTTACTATGTTGCTAAAGGTTTTTCATATAATCAGTATTATAATTCATGTGTCTGTAATCAATATTGCCTAATGTAAGTTTATATGTCAGACTTTTTCATAAGAATTGTGTGTTTTTATCTTGCAGTTTTGAGAAGAGTCAGAATTAAGACAATATAGAGAAACATGTCACAGTTGAGGGAAGAAAAATGACAGCACAAACTCTAAATCAGTCTAAATCAGAAGAAACTTAATTTTGAGAAAAATCATGAGATGATTTCGACTATTTGCAAAGAAAGGTGCATAATTGGTCATTTTTGCTGCTAGGGGCACACAGCAAACAAATGCATAGTTTGATTACATTGTAACTGACTGTGGAATCAAGGGATTTGTCTTCTTCGTTCTTCGTTACATCTTCAGAAATCATGACATCATCATGACAGAGTGTGGCTGAAAGACACTGAAATGAAATGAGACTGAAATAACTGCTGATGTGAGATGAGCAAGATGCAGCAAAAAGCAATGTAGCTTTTATTATGCCATAGTTTATAGCTTCCAGTTTTTCTGGTTGTGATCACGTGGAGAAGCAGCAATGTTTTATCAGACTAAATTCATTTTAGGACTTGTTATAATGCTTCTCTGTGCAGTCTAATAAAATGCACAACATTTCAAAAGCATATTTTGTGTCTCTCTGTTTCTTTTCAATCTGGAAATCTAGGCTGTATGAGATTATTAGCATGGCCACACAGCATACGGTCTGTGTCACTAGATGAAATGGAGTATACTGTATGCACAAAAAGTGTTGTTCAGCCATTGATAAATATCCAATGAAAGGTTTATGTGACTATTTTTAAGGTTTAATTTCACATCATCAATGTTGTAATGTAATTCAAATATAATCAGTTAAATAGACTTATTAATTAATTTAGTTGTTCAAGTGTAAAATGAGATTAAAAAAAACAATTGAATGCAAGCGCGGGGAGCAGCAGGCAAGCACAGAAACTCTATTGAAAATACTGTAGTAAAATAAATTCCCATATTTTAAACACATGACACAGAAAATAGAATTTAATTCAGTGCTTCTTGTCTGCTCTTGTACTTACTTTATATAAGATCTCTGTCTGGCAGTAAAAGTCGCTGATCTTTACAGAAGTCAGATCTTAAACATGGTGATTTTGTAATGGCATGACAGTTCACCTCAAGCACTTGAGTTGGCTTACTGAAAAATAAAAGTTTGTGTACATATACCCTATTGTTTATTTCTCTGAATCATACTTCTAAACATTTGGGATAATGTAAGTATATTAATTCAACAAAGTACACACCACTGTCCAAGAGATTTGTGGACTATTTTATTTTAAAAAATTGACATGTCGTGCCTTTAAAAGTTTGCATTTCAAATAATAGTTTATTTCCCTTTTCCCCTATCCTGTATAGTCAAAACATTGTGCTACTCAAAAAAAAAAAAAAAAAAAAAAAACAGCCCGGCCAAGCATCTCTCTGTTGCTCAACAGGCAACCAACCAGTAGTCTTTTGCAAAATCTGTACTCTCGTAAAATGTATTATCATGTGGATTACAATGAAGCGACTCGATTTCAAAAGAAAATTCAGTGAACGACTGTAAATTCACATTCCTGTTGACTGAGCTGTCAGAACGGAAGTGGGCTGTAGAATAATAATTGACCCTTTTTGCGTACTTTGCCAAGATTATACAGTATGCCATGTTGGAGTATGAGTAGTGCATTCTCAGTGAAAAGTACAGGTGTGCATTACAAGTACCTTCATGAATTGTGAACTCTGGTCACTTCCTACTCAAGAAAACCATAAGCCATAAACACATACCTCAGGTCTTTAGCACATTAGGACATCATTCATTGTTCATCTAAGGCTAAATTCTACAGTAATTTATAGTTAATGCTTGAATGTGTTGAATATATATATATATATATATATATATATATATATATATATATATATATATATATATATAATAGTATTTACTTAGTGCATACTTATTGAATATACTGTAATAAATACTGTAGTGTAGTGTAGTCTATTTTTGACTATTGTTAGACACCTATTGGATTTCCATACCAAATTTAGCTTTGTTTTATCTGACACGTCTATGTTTGGATGTCGATTAGATATAAGTTTGTTTATAAGATAATTAAATGTTTAATGCAGTGCTTTTATTTTACATAACTTAAGCATCTATAACTTGTTTTCATTTTGAGCATTATAAACTCTAGCTGATGGATAACAAAGCCCAAAGTGTCTTCTTTACAAGATACATAAACTGTGAATGTAGACCAAACTATTCAGCCACTGTTTGTTTGGGAAGGTCCTTTCTGAGAAAGTGTTTCGGTGAGGGAGAGAAGGACACCGATATAGCCTCAGAAAACATTTAGCAGAAACCTCATTGTGCATGCTATCTTCATTGAATTTGAAATAAAAACTCATGGAACACCTTCAGCCTTCAGGCCATATTTTTTCTAGGTCATTACATTAATGTTTTCCTGTGTTTGTATATGAAAAAACAATAATAATTTATAATGTTTATCTTTTATATTTTTGAGCATGAATCTTCCCAGATGGACCATAGTAAAGCTCAAAGTGTCTTCTTTCCAATAATACCTAATTGTTTGTAGCTCACCTGGGGTCTAGAACTGTTACTTTTTAAAGTTATGTAGATGTAAATGCCCAAAAGTAAGTGCTGGCTAACAGGTTAAACAAAATTGTTTGTGGACTCATACTCCCACTTTTATTTTTTGTTTAAATTTTGACTTTTATAACATGATAAAATAATGTCTGTTTTTAACCGCCATCAAGAGAATTGGATGACATACTGTAGGACTGGGTCACTAAAGACTCGTGTATGCAATAATGCTTGACGAAACATTTATTTAAAGTCCATGTGAAATAAAAAAGGC